CGGGATGGGGAGTTTGGCTATAGAGATGGACATGTTGATGAACATCATGGGGGGGAGTGAGTGCTGCTGTTACCTCTGGCTCTGGCTGTGTCCAGCATCCTGCCTGGCTCACTGATGTCACTGATTGCTAGGAGCTGGGCAGTACACCATCCAGAGTGTCCCATTTGGCTCTTGGCATACATGTGATGTCAGTGAGCTGGCCAGGATGCCAGCAAGAGCGTTATAGGTTGCGGGGAGTTTTTAGCAACCTAGGACACTCTGGCCAGAAAGGGGGTAGCAGGCATACCTTCCGCACCCAGCAGGTGACCTAATGCCCTGGCCATTACTAACTTCTCATGCCTTGTGTCTTTGTATGGAGGCAGCAACCATGGCAGAAGAGGCGCCTTACTTCCTTATTTCATAGCTGCCCCCCTAATGACTGGTGATCTGATGATTGGTGGGTGAATTATCAAGAAATGAGAGCTTCATAAAGCTCAGATCTATAGAATGGATGAAGTAGAAGCAGGGAGAGGTATAGCTTTCACTCCAGCAGGGAACTTGTCTTGAGGTGTTGACTACTTAGAGTTTTATGAAAACATTTCTGGTACCTATACTGATGGAGAGGCAGGCAGCAGGTCTCTGAAAATGCCCAATTGGGCATAATGCCCACACTTCTATATTTTTTTGGAAGTGCAATCAGTTCCAGCAATTATTATCGTATAATAGTTCTATAGGCCACAGGTCATAAATGTTTTCCTTCAATTAGATCATTGAAGCGGTCACATGTAAAATCATTCAGTTTTGATATTTCATAGTTCTACTAACAGAGAAACCCAGGAAGCGACAATTAGATGTAACACCACCCACACCCTTTCACATGACGGAGTTCTGTGGGTTGTGTGCTGCAAAGGAAGAACTCGATCTTTGCTTTGGTTCTAGAAAAAGTGTGCAAATGTTACATACTCCAAACCATCCAACTCTGTACACTGTGCTCTAAGTGACATACTGTGGACCACCTGACTCTGTACTCTACTGTATGTGACATACTCTAAACTGCAGCACTCAATACACTGACTGCAAGTGACATACTCTGGATTGTTCCTTTCGGTACACTGTAATAGTTGTAACATACTACAGCACTGCACAGTACAATACACCATGATTCTCCACACCTCTCCACTCTAAATACTTTACTGTACATCAGTCATTCTGAATTGAGAAAGCTGGTCGGATGTCCAGTGAAACATCTTCAAGAAAAATACAGCAAGTCCAGTGTCCTTGACTTATTGTTTACAGGTTTACTGTACATTATATACTCTAGACCGCTAATCACCACAGCATTTTCATAGACTGGTGGGCAAGTTCAACCCTCCAGCTGTGCCTTAACTACAAAGCAGCACAGTGGCATAGTGGTTAGCGCTCCTGCCTTGCAGCACTGGGGATTCCTGGATCAAATCCTGGCCTGGTCACTATCTGGAGGGAATTTGCATGGGTTTCCTGTGGGTACTCTGGTTTCCTTCTATGCTCCAAAGACATGCTGAAGGGTAAATTTGCTCTCCTATGTGAGATAGGGACCTTAGATTGTAAGCTTCTTGAGGGCAGGGACTGATGTGAATGTGCAAAGTGCTGTGTAAATTGTTGGCGCTATATAAATACCAGTATTAAATAAATCCCAAGCCTCTGCCTTTGGGAGTCATGGCTGTAACTGTTAGTCTTGCAATGCCTCATGGCAGCTGGAGGGCCAGAGTTGCCCACCACTGATATAAGTGTTATACGTTGAACACATTTTATGAACTATTAAGACTTATGCATTCGACTTATGCATTCGACTTATGCATTCCACTCTGTTCAATAAACAGGTGCACTTTTGATATTTATTTTATTATTATGTACAATCTCATTATGCAACTTTAATAATGCATTTAATTGCAAAGAGACCAGCTTACACACAACAATTCTATAATTAAAAGTAAAAAACAAAACAAAGATATGCCATTGCATGAGTGACCGCAGCCAATTTGACTTTAGTAAACCAACCCCAATGAGTCAGCTGACTTATAGGGGTTGATTTACTAACCTTATAAACACACCACGAACATGTATACACCTCTGTAGTGTGTTCCCTCCCAGCATGATCTATGGGTGGAATCTAAACACCTTTGTAGTGTGTACACACCCAGCAGGTGTGTTGTGCAAAGCCCTGCCCTGAATTGCAAGGTGATGTTGTGTAAATTAGCTCTACATTGTGTTGCTTGCGTTGATGAATGCAGGAATGTAAATGCATGAGCTAACCATTTTTGTCTAAACTGTGAAGCAGCATTATATATGCATCATGTGCATGATTTTTCCATATATGGCATTAGTGGAAATATGCTTATAGAGACTTTTTGGTTGATAAATACGCTTTGCTGTGTAAAAATCACACGCACCTGGTGCGTGCGTGTGTTTAGGTTAGTAAATCACCCCCATAGACTTCCATAGCAGTAAAGCACAACCATTGTATAGCACTACAAAGTTCTCATTTTTTTTCTTTTAGTTTTTCTCTATGCAGTGTTTTTACTTTTCATGTTCTCTCGCTCTCTCACACTTTCTTTTTTTCAAATTTATGCTTATTAAAACTGGCTTCTAGTAATGAAAAGTAAGTGAATATTAACTTGCAGAGTATAAACACTCTCACATCTCAAAATCCTATGAATCACACTTTTTTGATGTGCATTAAGCAGTCTGTACAAACCTCTGTATTATAGAATTTAATCAAAACAAAAAATGGAAAATGAAATTGTTCTTTCATATAAGCCTAATTGTGATTTAGATCAACTTGGAAGTAGGTTGGCAGGAAATCTAATGTGATAAATCCAATACCAAAAAGGTATAAAATCAATTTTAACTTTTCAATTTAATAAAAATCTCTGTGTTAAATAAAACGGGGTTTATTATGTTCAATAAAGATCATCATGTTAGCTGGCTCTACAAGCTGAAATTTTTCAAAGGGTTTTAGAGCCTTGCAGAAAAAGTTATGAAACAGAAAACTAAACAAGTGCCTCGGAAGTGCAATTATATCTTATAACAGATAGCTCAAATCAAATACATTTTCAGTGTCCACAAACCTGGAGCATTTTTTATTATCTGAAATTCTTCATTGTTTCACTATCTCACTGTTTTCAAGGGTAACACATATATGACCGTCTCAATAAAGAGTCTTTAATTCATAAGTGCTACTTCTTAAAGGATGAGTGGCCCTTTTTGTCCCCTTCACAGATGCATAATTACCGAGGTCTGGTGGCCGCAGCCTGGTTTACATGCATTGCTGAATTTCCCCTCTGTCCTGGCCACACCTCCGCATTACAGCCCAATACAAGTCTATAGGGCTAATTTATTATCCTCTGGCCTCGGGTGGCAAAGGGAGAAAAACAGATAGAAGTTTATGGGGCTGTAATGCTGAGGTATGGCCAGGACGGAGAGGACTTGTTAGGGACAGAGATTTGTCAGAGGTCTTCTGGGGCTGCAGGAAATTTGGGGCATTGTTTTCACTTTGAATTATTATTTATGTTTCACTATATCTTATAGATCATACATGTCTCTTGATAAAAAACAAAAAACAAAACTATATAGGATGTACTGCCAAATTACTTGCACCACTGGCCCCTTTAAATCTTTAAAACTGCTGACATATAACCCATGTGCTTTACTGTGATCCAGCGTAATGAACAATGAACACATCACCTTTACTGTTATTTACTTACTGGTGCATGCGAGCCCGGCTGAAAGGAGCTGTATAACAATCCGTCTCTTCTAGGTCTGGAAGGGCTTCCTTGTCAAGCTTCATTGGGTTTCTAGGCAGCCAGCTTTTAAGTTGTCTCATGTTCCTCTGCAAACTAAAATGGAGAAATGCTTTATAACAATCAACTTGATCTGGAATGACCTTGGACAGAGAATTATAAAACAGCTCAATCTTAATTTCTCTATGCAAGGTCAGGGGGAAATGGGATGTTAAAGGAGAACGCTACCCACATAATGGGTGGAGAGCAACATTCCTTTTAGGTTTGACATGTTGTGTGTTCACAAAAAAACAAAAACTTGTGTGTGGCTTTAGTAAACCTGAGGTTTGAACATGCAGTATTTTTAGGTAAACATTTTCAAGCAAGCAAATAGAAAAGAAAACATAGTTAATATAAATTTCCATAATGTATATACTAAAAGCACAGATATGTATTTTCTCCTAGGTTATGTCTCTTAGTTTATGTTTTTCGTATGCTACAGGTTTGCTTAAGCGTCCACTCCTCAGTGTCCTCCAAATCTTCATGTTCTGCTCCCCCTGAAAAAGTTCAAACCCACTTTATCCTAATAACAATTCTTCAGACCTGTAATTCTAACAATTCCTTAGCCTCTGAACTCTGCCCCCAAAAACTTTCATCCAGTACACTTCATTCATCTAACAGTCCCCACACATCACTCCTACCGTCATCAGCTTTTTAACGCTCACGTTCTTTGTCCACTACTGGAGTTTCCCAAAACCAATTCGCAAACCAAAATTTGGCCTTGGTAGTGCTGATTTTCTTAGTGTAGCTGATGAAGTTCTTCAGAAGGAGTTTGCTTTCTTTTGAGTGATATGTCTACCTTCCTCATGATTATGCTTAATGACATCTTCAGGCACAATTGTAGGGGCAGTACATTGGGGTTTGCCTTTGCTCAGTGCGGTAATGCCATCATCATCATAATTCAACAAATTTGCACCCTGCGACTTTCATTTGCCTGTGGTCACAACTAGTGTTCTTCTATAAGTAAAGAACAATGTTATCACAGTACTTTACTTACTTGCAAACTAGTAGCAAGGGTCAGCTTGAAAGTCATAATTAGCCAGTGAAAAGCGAACCATAATCTGTCATGCTCTTGCTACTGGTTCGCCCTCTACTTTTGTGTTTATGTGCTGTTCTGTCTATTTATCTTGGGCTCAAACTCCAGTATCACTCTAATCCTTTAAATGTTCTGATCTAATTTGTCTCATTTGCTACCTGAGTGCTTCGTGTTCCTACTGCAGGTTTGAGAAAATGCCTCCTTACTTGATCTAGCTCAAGGGTAACTGACAAAAAATTTGTAATCACTCCTCAATCAATGTTTGATTTATAGTAGAGTATATCAGCAGTACAAGCCGTTTCTTTTTTTATCAGCTAGATTAATATTACTAGACATTCTCGATTACACAGCAGTATGGTTTTGTTAGCCACTTTATGTTAAACATGTAAAAAATCCATCTAATCATCAAAGTTCTTGGAAGTTTATATGGGCAACCAATCAAATTTAAACCTGCAATAAAAACTGTGCATCATCTTTTCGCTTTGCATGCTATCGTAATGGGATTGCTAGTTATTGCGGAAGAAGTTCTGGAGCAGCAGATGAGCATGCACCCTGTCATAAAATACATATGCCACAAAGCATCCTGTAATTGAAGACTCTCAATACTTACCTTTCCCACTGCCAACACTTCTAGTGTTGATCTCCTGGGTCTCTTGCATCCCAGCCCAGTTCTCCCTCTGACCTACATATTATTGGGGATACAGTAGTAACATGGAAATCAGCAGTAGGAACCAGTGAGAACTGCAAGGCACCCAGGATATTAATGAATGAATGTCACCAGCACACCAGGAGTATTAAAATCCAAATTGTTCATTTATTGAAACGTCATGTCATCAGAACTAGCGCTTTCGGGGCCTCGCAGGGTCCCCTTCATCAGGCTCAGCAATGAATGAAGGGGACCCTGCGTGGCCCCGAAAAGCACTAGTTCTGATGACATGACGTTTCAATAAACTAAGAATTTGGATTGCAATACTCCTGGTGTGCTGGTGACATCCATTCATTTGTACTACTTGGCGGGCCATCCGCGGTCACTGAAAGCACCCCCTCCCCCCCATCTGATTTGGGGCTTTCCAGTAAGGAGTGCAACAAGGCAACTCTACATTTGCACCCAGGATTTTGACACTCCCTGAGGTGTCAGTTTCCCTAAGATCTCAGGTTAAATATTTCTACTAAACAGGACAGTATTTTGTAAGTGCAGGCAGTAGGAAATGTAAGTATTAAAAGTCCATTTTACAAGGTACATTTTATTGGGGCTTCTTTATTTTTATGATAGGATAGTTTTAATTCAGCTAAACCTTCACCCAGATCATAAAAAAGTAAAGCCACCTTTAAAGATATTTTTACTTTTAAATGCAGGATTTTGTTGTGCCTAATACCTTTGGTGTTCTTAGATCCAGGGCTCCTCTCCCTTGTCCTCGCTCCCTTCACTTCATGAATTTCATTGCCACCCCCCATGATGACACGCAGGTAGTTCCAATGCTTGTACACTGAGTGGTCAACTCAGAACCCTTTTTTCTTTACGTTTGCCCAAAAAATACTTTTCCCTGAAATCTTGTGAGATTTCGCAGTTTGCAGATGAGATCTCTATGGAAGACAGTGGTAATGTAGTCTTCCTAGGGGGCAGCTGTTAGGCCTTGGCTATGTCACCAGTGCTTTTCATAAAGATCTCATCTGCAAACTGCAAAATCTTGTGAGATCTTGGGAAAGGGATATTTTGGCAACATTTAAAGAAAAAGTAGAGCGCTGAGTGCACAGGCACAGGAACTGTCTGCGCATCATCCTAGGGGGTGGGAAATCCAGGAAGGGAAAGAGACCAGGAAGTAGAATGATGTATAAGTAACCGAGTTAGTTCTTGATTAGAAAATAGATTAATTTGTGGATAGTTTGGAATTAGCATTAATAGGTACATGAACCATGTATTTTTACTGCTGAAGAGGGTAAGGTCCACTTTAAGAATTCATTATAGGTGTTGAAGTGTAAGTGCAGCCAAACCATTTTAGATTAATATGGGAAGGATTAGAACTACATGTTGGGTGTTTATTGCTATCCAGGGCTCCAGTACTTACTGTTTTGGTTACAACCCTTTCAGCATATAGGAAAAATCTGCATCAGGAACACAAACAGCAATACAAATATTACAAACATTCTAGCCTTCCCCTACCATAGTAAAGACAAAGATCCCATCAAGGTTGATGCTGGGGATTTTTTTCTCACTTTCTGTCTACTAAAACTGTTGTGACTGGGAAAGTATTTGAGGGGAAATCTTTCTAACAGAGCCCCAGATAACAGTAAGAACCCAATATGGGTCAAATCATTCTGAACTCAAAAGTTAAAAAAATAAAAATAAATTTACAGGACATACACATTAAAGGGCTGATTTATAAATCTTTCACTCAGAATACAACTGGGTGAATGCTGTTCGCATAGCGTTACCACCACTAAATAGCACTGAGGAACATATGAATTTCTTCTGCACCATCGAGTGGCTGTAGGTCTGTGTGAAATCAAAAGAGGATCACATTCCTTCTAAGAAATTGGACTGATTTTGCACATTTGATTTTGCACATTTTGGAAGTGGAATAAAAATGAAATGTAGCCAAATACAGAATTATGGTACATGAGTTAATCAGCTAAAGTTAGATATGCAAGCCCTAATAAACCAAATTAATGTTTTCGCAAACTGGCCACTTGAAGACAATGAGAGTTATTTCAGGAGGAATTCAGCTCGGCTAATGGGTAAATTTACTGGGTGTGCTGAAAGCAATATACATTTCCAATATCACATTTATTTTTTATTTATTTTATCCAAAACATGTACACTGAAGGCATAACTGTGTGGGATTATTTTTCTAGACCTTGTTTGCAGTAATTCATTGTATTGAACTATAAATTTGAGCTGAACTCCTAGGGTGAAGTAGAGGCAATGGCACTGGCGGAACTACCAGGGTCGCAGCGGTCGCAATTGCGACCGGGCCCTGGCGTTCGGCCACTTGGGGGGGGGCCCAG